CCCCCCAACCCCCTTTCCGCCATCCCTTCCATCCCTCCCCAGCCCTCACATGCCAATCATAACCGTGTTTCCTACCTCAGCTCGCCGCATTGTACAATCCATCCTTCCCTCCACGATCACGCCCACACCGGCATTATACGAGCATGATACCCTTCCCGCCTTTTACACGACTGCCCACGAGTCATACTCCGCCCGATCCGCCTTCTCACCCCCTCCCTATCCTCGTCACCACCCCCTCCCTATCCTTGTCACCMCYCCCTCTCCCTATCCTTGTCACCACCCCCTCCCTCTCCTTATCCTTGTCACCACACCCTCCCTATCCCTATCCTTGTCACCACCCCCTCCCTATCCCTATCCTTGTCACCACCCCCTCTCCTTTCGCTTATTTTTTGCTCTTTTTTGTTACCCATTTCTAAAAGCAATAAATAATATCTGTCTCTTTATTTTGGCCACTACCGCTCCCATCCCGATCATATCGTCAGTCGGTCAGTCAGTCGGATCCCTTCACGAGCGATCCAGTATCGCCAACCGTTCCACACATCCAGCAGCTTTCCCCCTGCTACATAGTAATAATATACGGCAGTAAACTCCCCTCCCAAAAATTAAAAAACAAGGGAAAAAAGAAGGAAAAACACAGAGACACAGACGAACACCATTCGCCCGGAATCGACCTAATCAACGGTTTCCCACGGGATCCCGACTGATTGATTGCCTTTTCTGGATCGGGATCAACAGTTTCCCACGCGATCCCGACTGACTGATTGCCTTTTCCACACATCCCGCAGCTTTCTCCACACAACACACAAGTTCGGTTTTTTTTTTTTTTTTTTTACATAGTCGTATATTCCCCTCATCGATATCAAAGAAAGTAAGAAGGGAAAAAAAAAAGAAAAACAGACAAACACACACACACACACACACACACACACACACACACACACCACAAGCCCGGAATCGATCTGACGAACGGTGTGTGTTTGTTTGCGTGTGTGTGTGTGTGTGTGTGTGTGTGTGTTGAACATAAGTGAGTGAGTGTAACACAGCTGCTTCGACAGGAAGAGAGAAGTTCAGGTGAGGTCATCGGGGTCAAGCTCATCGTGCGCGGCTGCCGAGGACGTGCCAGCAATTGCCTTCATTCCACCAGTCGGGAGCTTGTTGGCCAGTCTGATGATCATGTGGTCCAGCTGATCGACTATATTCTTGCTCTTGCTGATGACGTACTTGACCTCCTCACCATCCCCATCTCGATAAGCTTGCAGAAGCTTCCGTGTAAACTCTCCCTGTTCGCTGTTGCCGAAGGCCTCCACTTCGCTGCAATCGTTGTAGCATTTCTCTGCCTGCTTCACGTCCTCCGCATACAGATAGACAATCACCGCACTTGCGTAGGCCTTGCACTGGCTCTGCTTTCCCTTTGAGCTGTCGAATGCTAACCCTTGTCTAAGAAGCATGGTTGCGCCATCATTCCACCTCTCCAACTTCAGATACAGACTGACAGCTGCACGGAAGACGTCCCCAGCGTTCTGTTCCCTGCCTTCTTCCTCGCACATGGAGATTGCCTCCGTGTACATGCGCAGAGCCTCCTCCGGCAAATGATCCTCCACTGCCCTGGCACCTTTGAAGAGAGCGTCAGAGGCAGGCTGTGGGCGACCTGCCTCAAGGTATAGCTCACATGCTCGACTGTAGGAGGCAGCAGCACTGGTCCATTGATGAGCTTCTTTTGCCATCATGCCTGCACTTTCCATGTGCTTGGCTGCACTGAAAGGGGATCCCAACCGCTCTTGACCAGTGGCAGCCTTTTCAAAAGCCTCCATAGCCTTCTCGTAATGCTTACCCAGCTTGAAAGTTGTTGCAGCTTGCTCATACATGGGGGTAGCCTGCAGCCAGTCCGCCTTCCAGCGGGTAAAACTCAGTGTAGTTATTTTGTCTGCCTTCTTCATTGCTTTCTCCTTCTCCTTCAGTTCATTTGCTCCAATCATCTTCGCTTTCCTCCTTCTCCAGATTCTCTCTCTCTCTCTCTCTCTCTCTCTCTCTCTCTCTCTCTCTCACACACACACACACACACACACACACAGGCTTTGGTCCACGAGTTGAGACGAACACCGCCACAATAACTATATTAAGCTCCTATTGACTCCCCTGACCTTTTGTCATACGCACACACTACACACTTATCATACACACAGACAACGTAACAAACGCCTCGAACGTGAATTCAGCTGAAGGGCCTCGCCGCATCAGGGCATACTCACACTAGCACGTACTTGTGCAAATTTTACGTATGTGAATTTGCGTTTGTATGGCACCTGCGGGTCACACCGCTCACCCGTTTGTTGCCCGAAGCAGAAAGGACAGGGTCGCGACCTGGCCTTGAGATACGAAAATACGCTGTGTGCAGTCAGACAGCACAATGCACTTTCAATTATTATTTTTATTTTTTTTTACAAGGCAAAGGGGCCCTGAGGGCTTCAATTATAAGCTTGCAAAAAAAAGACGCCGGGAAACCCTCTTAACAAATCAACCCCGACAAGGAGCAAAGTTCTGAGTACTGTTAATCTCAGGAGTTGGACTAAGGGCCTCGTTAGACCCTCCTTAAAAAATCCTCAGGAATTAGGACGAAGTCCTTGGAAAATTTCAAGGAATTCGGCGGCGGCGTTACACCACGTCCTAAACGAAAGGGTCCCAAGGAAAAACCTTGGAGGTATCCCGCGGCCAATTTCATATGCATATACGAGGCCGCGGGGGAGGATGTCCGTCGTCGTCGTGGGATGTCCGTCCGTCGTCAGGTGTGGTCCACTGGCGGCGCAAGGAGGCCTGCGATGCTGCGCTGCGAAAAGAGGCGCGAAGGTTCCTTTTCGAAATTCGAATTTCAAACCCTCGTTACATACGCATCGGCGCGCCGTGGCGTTACCACCCCTGGAGGTACCAGTGTGCGAAACGTGTGCGCGGACGATTTGCGGCGCCCATCGCTGTTGGCGACTCGTTCATCCGATCGTCAGCCGGCGCGGCGCGAAAGGTGACGACGTTGGAGTGCGTGAAGTGGTGCGTGTCCCACTTTCCTCTTCCTGCAGACGACGACGATCCGGTGGCTCGCCATAGCTTCGCGCGCTCGTCATTCGTGTACGAGGAGCTGCCCTCGCCAGAGCGTCCGCTGGGACAGTGTGCAACGAGGGTCCAGTCGTCCGTCTGTTGTGCGTGTTCAACAAGGCGCCGTTGGAGCTTCGTGATGGAACACGTGTTGCAGGAGGTTCATGGCAAGACCTTGAGCAGGGTGGAGAGAAATGCGGTGGTTGCAGCAATGTCGGCGGTGGCCATGCTATGTCGCATCGAGAGAACGACAGCGCGGTTCAGGACGAGAGTGTCTATTCACAGGCAGCGTGAGCTCCTCCGGCACGTGATGGCGGCGCCAGATTGCGTGTCCATGTCCAAATCCATTATCGAGTTTTGCGGCGCCATGTCATCTGGGGTGATACCGCGGGCGACTCCAACTTGAAGGTGGTAGATGAGGAGAAGGACGGGTGGCACGTGGGAGGATCTGCGGAAGATGGACGACGCCTCAGACGAGTACTACAAGGAAAAGTTGAGGATGTCCCCCAGGGTGTTCATGGAGATCGTGGAGGCGTTGTCCCCTCTTCTGCAGCGGGGGGTGATATTCTACAGGGTTCCTTTGCAGCCGGATCACATCATCGCATATGCGTTGTACCGATGCAACAAAAAAATTCCCACGAGAAATGAAATTGGAAAAAACATTCCATAAAAAAAAAAATCCTTCATATTTATAAATTATCATTCCAATGTTTGTCCAATTCTAACATTTCCAATTTTATTTGATAAGTTCCCGTCTAAATATGAGCTTTCCCTTCCAACCACATCTATTTGTTCAAGATGGAATGAAAGTTTGGGCGAGTTTACGAAATATTTTAATTAAACTTTCATTCTACTATAACAAATATCTTCTAATTTAGATTGGATTAACCTATTTATGACTGAAAATCCTTAGTTAGAATGACAGTCCAATTAAAATATTTCATGAACTAATCCAAACTTTCATTCCATCTCTAGCATGATGCAGTTCAAATAAGAATGGATGCCCCATTCTTGGAAGGAAAGTTCTCAAGTAAGATGAAAAATTTTAAAATTGAAATGACATTTTTTAAGATGGAATGAAAATTTGAAATTTAGAATGTAATTTTACTATAGAATGAATATTTAATTTTGGGAAATTTTTCTGTTGTGGGCGAGCGGAGAGACGTACGAGAGCAGCACGTCGTCATTCGGAATAGGCGCGCATCCGGGTTGATCGCAGTGGAGGACGTTACGAGGGCGCTCCTGAGGGTGTACGATGACAAGATCGTTTGGCCTACTGGGATGCGTCGTACGCTCGTTCTGCGTGTCTTCGAGGCGAAGGGCTTTCCCAACTGCTATGGCTGCATAGACTGCACACACGTTTACGTCGACAAACTGGTGAACGCTCCTTCGGAGAACTACTTCGACCGCAAGCATCGTTTCTCCGTTGTAGCACAGATGGTGGTGGACCTGGACTTGCGCATCACGGACGTTTTCGTCGGTTACCCAGGGAGCTGCCATGACATTCGGGTGCTTCAACTCTCCAGTCTGTGGGCGCGTGCGGAGGAGGGGGATCTTTTCCGTGGACCTCCTGTTGTGCTGCCGTTCGGAGTGAGGACACACGGTTACATTCTGGGCGACAACGGGTATCCGCCGCTGGAGTCGATCGTCGTGCCGTACGGGGGGATTGATCAAATCCCCGACGAGGAGAGGTTTGACAACAACCAAAAGGTCGTCAGGGGAGCAGTGGAGAGAGCTTTCGGGAGATTGAAAGGGATGTGGAGGTTGTTCCTCCGCACACACAAGACGTACATGGACAGTCTCCCGCAACAGTTCCAGACCGTGTACATTTTGCACAACATCCTTCTTGACGCTGGCATGAACTTCGACGACAACTTGCTGTGGGAAATGGATGCTAATGGCATGCGGCAGCGAGTGGACTTGGGGTTGGATCATCCACCCCATCCCATTGCTGAGAACTTCAATCGGCCCCGTGCGTTGGCGCTACGCGAGGCGTTGGCCGAGCGGATGAAACACGTGTGAAGACGCGCACCCCGTCGACGGTGCGTAGCTATGGCGTCTTTTTCGAGGTCGTGATGGGGTCATCTTTCACCGGAGGCGGTCTGTGTTGTCTCGGTGTAGCAGGAGTGCGCCGTGCCCTGGAGAGTTTTTTCGCAGTCATTTTCCTTTGTTGTTGTTAACTAGGAAGTAGTGCGTAGTTTTCGCCTGGTGATGCGCGTTGTCGTGAGTGAGTGCGCGCAGCTGCGCGAGTTCCATATCGAAGAAGACGGTGTCTATCGGTTTCTGTGGTTTGAGTCTGGAGGAGACTCGTTTTATTTCTTCAATTTTTAACTGTGTTCTTCTCTACGAACTTCCAGGTGAATGTGTGCGCCTTTCAGTGGACTGTGACGATGGTGTGTTTCGGTGTCTTTGGTATGAATCCATAGTGTTTTTTTTTGTTTTTCCTTTTCTTTTCTCGTGTGTTGCAAGTTGGAATCTCAAGGGCGATGTGTGCGCGTTTCATTGATGTGTTGCCTCCTCACCAGGATCCAAATGTGCATTCGATTTTTTTGGACCTTTCACTGCGCTTTCATCAACACACCGAAACCCACTCCACCCCCTGTGCCCGACTACCTGGAGCGTTGAACCATAGCTTGGACAAGCTTGCCGGCTAACCGATCAATCGATCATTGGGTCAGTTCATCGGCTTGCCGACAGAGTTGTTCGTATTGAGCTATAGTGATCATAGTGTTCATCACATCGACAACCAACATCTGTTCCAATCAGTCAATCAATGATCACAAACAAAAACAATATTCACACCGATCAAGAGAAATTGAAATGAGGAGAAACGCGTCGTCATATTCAAACACGAATAGACCTTTATATTGCTGGACTCCAGTACACGAAACAATCTCACAAAACCCGATCGAAGTTTGACAGTCGTTAAAAAAAAGACTAATAAAAGACGCCAGTCGTCTATTGGCGCAGACTAACCATCGCATTGACTTAACAATGCACCATGAAATACCCTTCAAAGCCGACCTCTCTCGAAGGTCGGTAAACAGCTACCAAGCGTCGGCGGGAGACGTGACACCCTACGCACGTGCGGCGTGGCGAAACGGGAAAACAATCTTCTAAGCAGCCCTCGCGTGGCGAAACGACTCAATGCATGCTAACCATCTGCGCTCGTCGCCAACATCCCTCGCCTCCAAGCCGCAATTCTGACCCCCCCCCCCTCTCCCCCTCCCCCCCAACCCGAACCCTTCGCCGATCCAGCACTCCCATTTCCCGCCAAATCCAAACCTTCACGATGGACCGCTTCACTCCACGGGCGATGCCTTCTTCCATGTCACGCAAGACGGCCATAATGAGGACATTCACGCTACTGTTTCGTCTTGTGGTCCGTCCCCCTTTCGATCGCCTTCAAAAGGTCCCGTCCCCATCCACTCCATTCTCGCCGCGACGTTGGGGTCCGCCAGTCCAGCGTGGTAGTTGAACCGCACTCTGCACGAAACCCACTCCGGGATGTAGTAAGGGAAAGCGCCCAGCGTCAACGATGGCTTCCGTAGGCGGCTTAACACTGCGTTAGCCGAGTGCATCACATGGCTGCGCCAGTTGAAGGACGATGAACAGAACGCCACTAGAGTCGGCTTTGCCACTAGCTGCGCGTAGTACGACGCCTCGTCGTAGGAGCGCGCATCGTCGCCTCCCATGCGCATGATCCACATGTACGTCGCGAGAAGCAGGCGGAAAGCATCCCCGATTCTGCTCAGTCTCTGGTGGGACAATCTACCGCCGTCCCACCACTGCCCGACCCGGAGCGCGTCGTGGAAGCAGGACGCCAGATGCATCACAGTCGCCTCCTGGTGCGCGACCATGTCATCGTCCTCCGGCCTGTCCTCGATATACGCCCCGGCGAACCACAACGGGATGTCCATCTTCAAAGCGACCGTGTGGTAAACCACGCTGGGCGGCACAATCCTGGACCACTCCAAGCTCTGCCAGACTGCTCTCGCCAGGTCGGTGGGGTAATCCACGGCGACGTATGACTCCGCGCGGGCGAAACCATCCGATTCGTACCTTGAAGACGACCGGAATATCCAGCCGTGGATGGCGCGCATTGCCATGTTGTTCGTTCGTCTCGCCCGTCGCAGAGCTAGCTCTCGCTGCGGGCCATCTTCGATCCGCAGGCGCGGGACTTCGGGGGACGGCATGATGAGGCCTTGCGGAGCGCTGGCGCCTGCATCTCCATTGACGATCGCGCAGTAGTAGTCCGTGCAGGAATGCACAGCGTCCGCGATCATCAGTCCGGGACCGGTTACCCAGAACGTTTTCCCGTCTACCCAAAGCTTCCATTTCGCTTCCAACTCCTCCTCCTTGCGGGACATTTCCTTCCTCGTGCTCAGAGGCTGGTCGTCCTCGTCCTCCCCAAGCGGACTCTCCTCCCTCCTCTCATGTTTTCTCGTCGCCTCTTCCACCCTCCGATCTTCTCGCCTTTCTCCAGCAGTGGCGGCGGCGGCATGGACAGTGGCGCTCGGTGCTTGCGCGGAATGAAGGACAGTCGTCGACGAAGCGCCAATGATCGTCGTGTTCAAGGCCTCCACGTGGCGCGGTGGAGACCCAGTGACTGTACCTTTATCGCCGCGCTCCGACACGGATGCGATGGTAGATGTAGAACCCACGGCCCTCTGCGGCAGAATGTCACCGATCACAACCCCTTGCGGACACGTCGTCCCGCCAGCGCTGGTGATCCGCAAAGACGGTAGGATGCCAAGGTTGGTGAGCGCAAGCATACGCTCCCTGCTCACACCGTCTCGCTCGAACCCACGCGTAGGCGTCCCTCCGCCCGTGATGTTAATAGGCGTCACCTCCTCTCCCCCCTCACCTCCCGTCTCGCCTTCCGACCCGTCTCCCGCGCGGAGCTTCTTCGACTTCGGGACGTGCCCCCTTCCTGTTTGGTCGGCACCCGCTTCGCCGGACCCAGTGCGTTTCGTCGGTCGTTGCTGTCCACGTGGCGCCATTCGCTGACGATCCGATGCGCTCCGCTCCCGTGAACGAAAGCGGACTGCCACAACGCTTAAGAAGAACTCGCTAGCGATTGTCTTCCGCTGGCGATGATCAGCTCCCCGCGCAGTGCAAGCCAACCCCCACCCGTCGCCTTGCGGGCACTCGTCAACATAAAGACAGGGACAAGATAGCGTACACGCGGACCTTTATAGTGCTCGCGGTGACCTTTCCCCTCCGACGGCGTGCGGATCCCACCCAGACGGCCTCAAGCACACCCCTCCAGGCGACCGCAACGACGATCACCCATTCGGCATGCGGGTAGACCACCTGAAAAACCACTCCACCCCCCTCAAGATCCCGTGAACGAAAGCGGACTGCCACACCGCTTGAGAAGAACGCGCTAGCGATTGTCTTCCGCGGGCGATGATCAGCTCCCCGCACAGTGCAAGCCAACCCCCACCCGTCGCCTTGAGGGCACTCGTCAACAGAAAGACAGGGACAAGATAGCGCACGCGCGGACCTTTATAGTGCTCGCGGTGACCTTTCCCCTCCGACGGTGTGCGAATCCCACCCAGACAGCCTCAAGCGCACCCCTCCAGGCGACCGCAGC